TACATTACTTTCATAATCATATCATAATTTCATAGTCATATATATAGATATATATATATATATATCCATCTATCTGACTGTATTAAAAATAACCTCACTGCCATTGAGTTGAATGCAACTCATAGCTACCCTTCCTTGGGTTTCCCAGGCGGTATCTCTACAGAAGTGGATTGTCCATTCTTCCTTCCAAGGAGTGGCTGGTGGGTTTGAACTGCCAGCCTTCTGATTAGCAGTTAAATGCCTTAGGTACTATAGCATTTATACACCTGAGCTCCCATCTGTCTATCTTATCTATCTGATTATAAGAGAGAGGAAAGTGGACTGATTCAATAGGATGTGACATTTGAGCTGAAACCCAAGAGAAGAGAAGGAGCCATTCGTTTCGAGAACTGAGGAGAAGCTCTTCCAGGCCAGGGAAACAGCAGGGACAAAAGCCTAAGGTTGGAGCAGGTTTGGAATGTTGTAGGTTCAGAAGAGTGGCCAGTGGGAGAAAGAGACGAATAATAAGGTTAGAGAAATTGTCAAAGGCCAGGCCATGGAGGACCCATGATAAGAAGTTGGGAAACCCTTGCGGGAACCTGACATACCTGTTTTCAGTTTTGAAAACCCTGGGGACACACAGATGAATAGATTGTCCAGGGGCCAGTGTAGAAGTTAGGAGATCAATTAGGACAGCATCTCAGGGATCCTGTAGTGAAATGACAGATGAGACAGGGCAATGTAGGCTGAGATTTGTTATCTTGGCTTGCTAACTGTGTGGAGATCACAGTCATAATCATTGTTGTTCATTATTGTTGAGTCAGTTCCGACTCATGACATTGCATGTATGATAAAAGGAAGTGTTGCCTGGACCTGTGCCATCTTCACCATCATTGTCTGCTCAAATCCGTTCTTACGGCCACTGTGCTTCTTGAGTGCCTTCCAACCTAGGTGCTCATCTTCCAGCACTGTCTTCTGTTGTGATCTGTAGAGTTTTATTGGCTAATTTTCAGAAATAGATCACCAGGTCTTTCTTCCTAGTCTTGGGATGGAAGCTCCACTGAAGCCTGTCCATCAGGAGTGACTGTGCTGGTATTTAAAATACCGGTGGCTTAGCTGCCAGCATCTCAGCAACACACAAGCCACCCAGTACAAGCAGTGAGTCACGTGTTTGAAGCTCTCTGAGCCTCGAGAGACTGGGGGAAAGTGAGACACAGCAATGCTATTTGACTAGCCTCCGTGGCCTTTGAACTTGGACACAAAGAATATGACTCCTGAGTTGTTGATAATTCTGAGGATGATTTTCTCTCCCTGAGTGTCTGAGACCATTCATTAGTGTGCACAACACTTTACCAGAGAAACCTTGTGCTTTCCTTTTCCTGTCTTGGTGTAGAATTTCCTGAAGTCAGAAAGGTTTATTACAAAGCTCTGTAACTGATTGCTCAGAATATTAAGCTTGTGAAACTCACCATGAAACAATAAATAAATACTGTGAGGTGTGAGGTCAGAACATGTGGGGAAAGGAGCAGCGTCATAAGAGGTTCACAGCACACTCGCCTGTTTATCTTGGTTCAGCCTGGTCTTTCCCAGCAGTGTGGGACTGCCACCACACCTTCTCTACACACGTGGTAATGTTTTACAAAACACTGGGGTTCTGTGGAACCCACTGGGAATGCTGGCTTGTGGTGAGGCCTTAGCTTGTGACCTGGACTGGAACCAGCCTTAGCTTGATACCTGACGGAGCCTACATGAGGCTGTGCGACACTCAGTGAAATAAGTATCTTTGCTTTTAATGATGATGAATACTGTCTGTGAAATACACTAACCAACCATCAAGCCAATTCCACCTCATGGTGACCTCACGTGTGTCAGGGTAGAACTGTGCTCCATAGGGGTTTTAATGGCTGTTTTTTCCCCGAAGTAGATCACCAGGCCTTTCTTCCAAGATGCTACTGGGTAGATGACAAAATAAAAATGTGAAACTTTGAAAGTAAAGTTGGATTGTGGAATATGATATAAGGCCTGGTTCCCAGTACCGGATGCCCTGGTGTAGTTCCTGCTTAGCTCTGAGGATTACTCCCAGTTCTAAATGGTCTGCTATCATCTCATATCCCCTACCGGAGTGGAAGAGGGATTGTGAGGATGAACCCCCATCCCTGGTGTTTACAAGGACACTCCAATGGGCCCTTCCTGGCACTTTCTCTTTGTGACCTGAAACCCACTGCCATGGAGTCCATTCTGACTCATAGTGCCCCTAGAGGACAGAGTAGGGCTGCCCCACAGGGTTTCCAAGGCTGTAATCTTTACAGAAGCAGACTTCCTCATCTTTCTCCCATGGAGTGGCTGCTAGGCTCAAACCGTCGATCCTGGTCCCCCTCTCTTTGTACATCAGCATTCAATAATTTACGTGGGCAGTCTGCACTGTGTCTCCTCAGAAGCAGGTCTAGTCAGCTGTTCTTTCTGTCTCATCCAGGGTCATAGTTATTAGTGTTGTCACTGCTGTATTGTGGGAGCAAGAACAATGGGGTTAATCTATGGATTATGCAAACCCTGGTCCAAAAAAACCATTCCCTACCCAACACACAAGCACAAGACGGCAGGATCAAAGGTGGAAGCAACTTAACTGTCCATCAACAGATGAATGGATAAACAGGATGTGGTGTATCCAGACAATGGAATGTTACTCATAAAACTTCATAAAGAGAATGAGGTCCTGATACGTACATGATGTGGATAAACCTTGCAAATGTGACACAGAGTGAAATATATCAGATACAAAAGGACAAATATTTTGCCACACACAAAGAATAACCCAGTGTGGAAAGGCACTCTTGTCATTTTCACAGCAGCCCCAGCCAGGGGACACAGCATGGTGGTGAAGGGGGTGGCTCTGGAGCCAGGCCACCCGCTGCAGTTCCTGACTCTGCCCTTTCTTAACTGCATGATCTGGGGCAAGTTATTTAACATCTCTATATCTCTGGGTAAGTGCTTGCTTGCTTGCCTACTGTAAAGATGAGTGGTTCAAACCCACCAGCTGATCCATGGGAGAAAGATTTGTCAGTCTGCTTCTGTAATGATTTACAGCCTTGGAAACTCTATGGTGCAATTCTACTCCGTCCTATAGGGCCACTGTGAGTCAGAATCTACTTGACGGTAGTGGGTTATTTTCCCCTCATTTGCAAAGTGGGAATGATGATGATGATGATATAGTGCCAAGCTGGCAGGATCATGATAAGAATTGAATGAATTAGTACATACGAAGTGTTTGGAACATTGCTTGGCTCAGGGGGAGTGTCCTGCTAATATGGTTACTGAATTCTTTATGTCAGGAATACGCCTCATCAAAACAGATGCATTTATTCCTTTATTCAACAAATATTGATTTAGCACCTGCTATGTGGCATAGTGGCTAAAGCACTTGACTGCTAACCAGAAGGCTGGCGGTTCAAACCCATCAGCCACTCCTTGGAAGGAAGGTTGGGCAATCCTACTTCCGTAGTGATACTGCCTCGGAAACCCAAGGAGGGGTCGCTATGAGTCGGGGCTGACTCGACGGCACATAACAACAACAACAACAATGTGTCAGTCAGGGAGCTCTGGTAGCATAGTGGCTAAGGCACTTGACTGCTAACCAGAAGGCTGGCGGTTCAAACCCACCAGCCACTCCTCGGAAGGAAGCTTGTGCAATCCTACTTCCGTAGTGATACTGCCTCGGAAACCCAAGGAGGGGTCGCTATGAGTCGGGGCTGACTCGACGGCAAATAACAACAACAACAACAACATGTGTCAGTCAAGGAGCTCTGGTAGCACAGTGCCTAAGGCATCTGACTGCTAACCAGAAGGTTGGTGGTTCAAACCCACCAGCCATTCTGTGGAAGCAAGACCAGGCAGTCCACTTCCATAAAGATTTACCTCCTCGGAAACCCAATGGAGATCACTATGAGTCGGATTTGGCTTGACTGCAGTGGGTTTGGTTTTTTTTAGTTTTATGAGTCAGTATTCTAGTTGCAGGGACATACTAGTAAATAAAACAGACAAAAATCCTTGCTCTCATGGAGTTTCCATGCTAAGGGACTCATTGCCATTGAGTTGATTCCAATTCACAGCAACCCTATGGACAGGGTAGAACTGCCCCATAGGGTTTCCAAGGCTGTCAATCTTTATGGAACCAAAGCCAACCCAAACCTACTGCCGTTGAGTTGATCCAGACTCACAGTGCCCTAGAGGACAGGGTAGAACTACCACATAAGGCTTCCAAGACTGTCATGTTTATGGAAGCAGGCTGCCACTTCTTTCTCCCACAGAGTGATGGTGGTTTTGAACTGCCAACCTTTTGGTTAGCAGCTACACTTAGCCACTGTGCCACCAGGTCCCCTTTCTGATAGAAGGTACTAGTAATAATGCAAATAGAAAGAAAAACAAGCAAAATTATGCTCAGCCCAGTACCTAGCTTGTAGTTGTTTAGTAAATGGATGCATTATTCATATTGGTTTTGTTTTGTTGGCATCGTTGTTATTACTGTAGCTCAGTGGGACTTAGAGTTGTCAACTCTCATCTAAGATAAGAAAATTAAGCTAAGCCAGTACAGAAAGCTTTGCCAGTGGACAATTGAAACTGCTCCGTTAGAATGGATTAGAGAAGAAGACAGAGAACGAGAGGGGGTGGAATTAGCACATCCCCTGTGGCCATGAATTTAGTTGAAAATGAGCTGAACCCTTTCTGCCTTCTTCGTGTCTCAGGGCTGCACTTTTCTCTAGGCCAATTCCCACATTGCAAACCCGAGGCCTTTGTCAGCTACACCAGAGCACAGAAGAGGGCCTTGCCAGTCAACATCAGGGGCTGCAAGCTGAAGATGAAGAATCAGCAATCGCCTACTCACTCCTCCAGATAATTCACTTTCTAAAGGAAAAACTCCTTCTAAACACCTCCCCCCAGGAGTGTAGACCTCAGCATTCAGCAAAGAACGTGGCTAAAATAAACCCTTGACCTTGCTCACTGGTTCTTTATCTTTTCCTTTCCAGAAACCTCCTGTATGTCTACCCACAGAGGCTGAACTTTACCAACAAGCTGGCATCTGCCCGGAACATCACAATCAAGATCCAGTTTATGTGCGGAGAGGATGCTAGCCACGCAATGCCGGTAAAGAGGGAAATAAGCATTTCCTCAAACCGGGATGGGCTGAACTGCCTGGTGAACTCACACGGCCCACAGCTAGTCCTCATCAGTGTACTTTGTTCCACTTGCTGTCGTGTCAACCCCAATTTGTGGCCACCCCACACATGTCAGAGCAGGACTGTGCTCACAGGGTTTTCAGTGGCTGATTATCCTGGAAGTGGATCACCAGGCCTTTCTTCTGAGGCGCCTCTGGGTGGATTTGAACCTCCAGTCTCTTGGTCAGCAGCTGAGCATGTTTGCACCACCCAGGGCCTCACATCAATACACAGAGTGTGTATTCTAGCTCTGTTCTATTCTACAAGGAGCGCTGCAGCTAGTCCACCGCTGTCCCCGGGATACTGATGAGGAAACAGAGGTGGTCCGCATTGAAAGTCTCTTTCCTAACTTACTCCAGGGTGGGTTGTGAAACTCTGGGAATGCGGATCATTGTAGAGGGCTGACATAGACTGTGGAATCTTTCCCTGCCGCCAGCCTAGAATCCCATGCCCCCAAGAGCTTAAGAAGCAGAGAGAAGGGCTTAATGTGTCAGTCCTGTTGAATGGACTTCTGGATATGTGCTGCAGGACACACCTACCCAGCCCCACCCACCCCCAAATAAGAAGAAAGCCCTGTCTGGTGATAATAGCACCACCACCTCAATACCTTTGAGGAATAGATCTTCATCCTGAGGCAAAATACAGGTTCAACAAGAAATTACTGCCACCCATAGCTGTTGAATCAATTTCAGCTCATAGTGACACTGTAGGACAGGGTAGAACTTCTCCATATGGTTTCCAAGGCAGTAAGTCCTTACAGAAACAGACTGCCACATCTTCTTCCACAGAGAAGGCTGGTTGGGTTTGAACTACTGGGCTTTCAATTAGCAACTGAGTGCTTAACTACTGAACCATTGTTGTTGTTGTTATGTGCCGCTGAGTCAGACCTGACTCATAGCGACGCCTCCTTGGGTTTCCGAGGCAGTATCACTATGGAAGTAGATTGCCCAACCTTCCTTCTGAGGAGTGGCTGGTGGGTTTGAACCACCAGCCTTCTGGTTAGCAGTCAAGTGCCTTAGGTACAATGCCACCAGAGCTCTGGGGCTTCTTAAATAATAAATACATAGCAATGTAATATTCTCTAAGGTACCAACAATGCCAGAATTTGTCCTTTTTAACCATCTTCCACTAAATAAGATGGTGGTGAGCTATCACCATTTCCCACTCTCATGGGATTCAGCTCATACACCTTTCTCCTGAGATGGTTTGTTCCCAGTGCTTTCATTCTTCAATATTTACATTTTTCCCCCTGATTTTTACCATCTTCCTAATGTCCCACCATAGGAGCCTGGGTGGCACCAGTGGTTTGCAATCTCCTGCTAACCCAAAGGTTGGCAGTTCAAACCTACACAGCGGCTCTACAGAAGAAAGGCCTGGCAGTCTGTTCCTGTAAATATTGCAGCCAAGAAAACCCAAGGAGCACAGTTCTCCTGACACACAGGGGTCGTCATGAGTCAGGGGCCACCCCAGCTGCAGCTAAAAACAATATCTCACCTACCTTCTCAATGCAAGGGGTCCTCTTGCAATGGTCGTGGGGAAGAAATGAGTGGCTGCAAGAGGAGTCCTGGTTCTCTCTGCTCCCGACTCCCGCAGGTCATCACCTGGGCTTCCAGGTGTAGTTGTGCAATCCTGAACTGCTCCTAGGTATCTACCCAGCAGGGAAGAGGGGCCCTACCCCAGCCTGTCCTCCACTCACCCAGCATGGGGATTGCTTCAGCTTAGGGAATACCCAAACCAAACCCGTTGCCATCAAGTCAATTCCAACTCATGGTGGCCTGTGTGCTCCAGAGTACAGCTGAGCTCCACAGGGTTTTCCTGACTGTGATATTGATGGACACAGATCACCAGGCCTTTCACACCATTACTGTTTAGTATTTGACTACAAACCATTTGTACCACCTGGCAGAACTTTGGAGGAAAAAGTTCTTTAGTTCTTGGCCCAAAGGTGAGCTCTTTTGTCATATCGTGTGCCTTTAGAGGTGCATCAGCCCCAAAGAGCTTTTTCTAAGGGTCACAAACATGTGAGCACCAGTTTCTCCCCAAGCAACCAGGTCCATGTGTTTAGAGGGAGAAGAATGTGGACCAGCACCTATCATTGAGGGCAGAAGTTTGTGGCTTTGCCTGTAGTGTTGACCTGTGGGTGATGAGACAGAGTAGAGAGGGCCCTTGTTGTTGTTGTTGTTAAGTGCCGTCGAGTCATTTCCGACTCATAGCGACCCCATGCACAGCAGAACGAAACACTGCCCGATCCC